TATGAGGACCGGTTAGCCAGAGGAGTTTCTTTGCTTGTCAGACGGACTCTTGATGTGAAGGTGGACCTTGTGCATACCGATGCCGAGGGCCAGTTGATCGTGGCCGATATTGCCGTGAAAAGTGGTTCGTTCGAGTCGTTGCAGTTTATGCGCCCAATGACCAGGAGGGCGGGTCTCGTTTTTCGGCAGTTGGGGCCGTTCTAGTGGATTCAACGCGCCTAGTTTTAATGGGGACTGGAATGCCATCCTGGACCCCAAGTTAGACAGGGGCGGGGTGCTAGTGGGAGAAGGGACGATCGTAGCCTGGTTGATCTGATCGACGATTATGGTGGCGTCGACAGATGCGGTCGATCATCCCGGGGAAAATGTGGACGTGGGCTCTTAGTTGGCCTTCTGACAAGGTGGTTAGCTACCTTGACAGAATGTTAGTTAGAAGAGCCGACATAGATCTACTGGATTGCCCTACGTTCCACTGGGTAGGCTACGCGGACCACAAACTTGTTTGTGCCCGGGTGGCGTTAGACCATAGGCCTAGAATGGCTGGCTACTGGAAGTTCAATCTGTCTTTGCTGGACAGGAGGGACTTCCAGGAACAGCTAACTAGATTAGTGCAGCGGGGAGCTAGTGGGGGCGGTTATCGAGAATAGGTGGTGGGGCGACTTAAGTGTAGGATTAGGTCTTTCACCACTGATTTCAGCAAATGGCTCGCTCTAGATAGACCTGAAAAGGTGAATACACTTAAAGCTAGTTACACCCAGGCGGTGGCTGGGGGATCCCCTAGAGATAGCTAGGCGGGCCCTGGATCGTTTGAATAGCGAGCGGTACATGGGCCAGGTAATTAGACATAAGTTAAGCAAGATGTTTTCGAAGCCGTGAATTTGGGCGCAGATCTGCGCAGGGAAGAGGTCCGTCGAGGTGGCGATCGTTACATTCGTGAAGTCGAGTCCCTGGAGGGGCATACTCTTCAGGCCACCGACGACATGTGCGAGGCATTTTCGGCGCCATTTCGAGAGCCGGTTTACCAAGGAGCCTGGTCTCCGTGAGGAGGAGTTTTCGTAGCTATTTGGCTGACTTTCCTCGGCTTTTCGCCGACTGAAGCGGCTAGCTGTGAGGAGAGATCACGGAGGGCGAAGTCTACGCGGTATTGAAGAAGGTCGGCAGGATGGTTTGCCCTATGAATTGTGCTTGAGGCTGTCGCACATCTTTGTTCCGATTTTGACAGCAGTGTTCAACAACTGGTTTCGGTCGGGGTCCATCCCCAATCGGATCACCAGGGGTGTGATCACTCTGTTGAAAAGGGCAAAGGTGGTGGGGGGAAGCTAGATGATTACAGGCCCATAACTCTGCTAAACACAGAGTTAAAGATTATGGCCAAGATCCTGCAGGAGCGTTTGCAGTCAGTTGCCACGAGTCTTGTTCTGTGAGGGCGAACAATTCAGAGCAACCTGCATCTGATCCGCACGATCATAGAGGGCGTAAAGACGACGAAGAAGCCGCGCTGATCAATTTGGATCAGTCAAGGCATTTGATAGGGTTGACCATCGCTACCTTGCTACTGTCCTGCAGGCCGCTGGATTCGCACCCAACTTCTGCCACTGGATTAGCCTCCTGTATCGCTCCCCAGTGCTGTGGTACAGGTGAGCGGAAGGTTGTCAGGACGCGTTCGTGCTGTCTAGGTCGGTTCGTCAGGGTTATCCGCTGTCGCCTCTCCTTTATGCTTTGGCGTTGGAGCCTCTCTTCGCCGGCTGAAGGACGAGACCGGCAGTCCGCCCCTACGATGGAATCGCCGTCCCTGGAGGGTCTCGAGCCAGGGTTTCAGCGTATGCCGATGGCGTATCTGCTTTTCGTGTCGTCCCGCAGCGACATTGAGGCGGTACAGAAGGCGCTTGATTGGTACGAGAAGGTGACGGGGCCAAGATAAACCGCGACAAGTCGTCCGGTTTGCGGTTAGGTGCCTGGAAGGGGTCGATCTTCCGGGCGCTTCCGGTTGGACGGACAGTCCTGTCCGCATTCTTGGAGTGTGGTTTGGGCCCGACCTCCAGCTGGAGAAGAATTAGTCTGAAGTACGAGCAAAGGTCGATTTTGCGGTAAGATTTGGAATCGACGGAGGTTGTCCGTGAAGGGCAGGGCGGAGTTGTGTGTTACATACATTTTCCCCTGATTCTTTATCGATTGTCTGTACTTCCTCTCTGTAAAGACCACAGGAAGGTGCTTGAGCGATCGCTATCCTCCATTTTATGGAGGGGACGCGTGAACAGGGTCGACAGACGAATCTGCACTAAACGTCCGTGTCATGGGGGCTGGGAATGCCGCACCTGTTGAGTCACATCCGTGCCTCTGGGTTGGCTTTCCTACGCCGCGCATTGACTAGAGGAGATCCGATTCTGGAGGGGATTGTTGGGACGCCTTCCTAGCCTTACCATCAGTCCCCCATCTCGCGGGTTGGCGCCCGTTGTAAACCCCGGGGTGAGTCAGATTTCCTCCGCGAGTGTCGGTTGGCCTTGAAGGCCATTCCCCGGTCCAGTGACCTTTCTCGGCCTAGGAAGGTCTTCTATCGTGGTTTAGTGGAGGGTCACACGAAGGATAAGCTACGTGATGCGCTCGGCTTGTCGGAGGAGGAGTATCGCTCCTATTGGTCTTAGGCGCCAGTGGCGGATTACCTCAGTAACCCTGAGTTTTTTCGCTTACCTGGCAATTGGCTCGGAATCGGCTGCCTCTCAATGACAAGGCTTTCATATGGGGTTTTTGGATTTGCCAGACTGTGAACGGTGTGGTCTTGGCTTAGAAGAAACGGCCAGACGCCTTCTACCATTGCCCCCGGTCCGCCCTTATGGGACCATGTCGGGAGCTGACGCGTCTCGCTCCCGAACAGCTTGTGTCCATTGATCGCGCAGACGTGCGATGTGACAATGTGTCGCCCCGTATTCGGGGAGAAACGAATGGTGTTTCTGATGCTGATGGCCACGGCTCGAATGGTGATTTGGACGACGCGAATGGAGGAAGTCTTGCGGGCAACTGTCTTTCTTATCAGCATCTAATCCAATTCTTTGAGCATCAGCTCAAGATGAAGATTAGATCTGATAGAAAACGATTGCATTCGACAGTCTTCAGCGAAGGTGGGTAAAAGAGGCGAGCTTGGTTCGTGTGACCGGGGCTAGCCTTGATTTTTCTTTCTAGGTCAACCTACAGCACATCGGGGTGGCTTCCTGTGGAACCCTCCCCTTGGTTAGGTTAGACAAGCTTCAGTGTTACCTAGTTAATGTGAGTAAAGTGTTGTTCCTGGCCTGTATCCCGGCTGCTCTTTGGTTATGGCCCAAGTCGAGATTCCCAACCTCCCAGTTTGTTTTGGCCCCCCTTTTTTATCTCGACTGGGTCAGCTTTACATTTTCCCATTCGGCATAATATTTTCTCCTCTTTCCCACTCCCTTAGCGAGGCGTCTCTTGATTCTGTCCCTGGGCAGAATACAGCGGCCTCTCTGTTTTGAGGGTTGGACGGTCCCTACTAACATGTGTTATGTTTAGTTTGTATTTTGTGTTTATTTTTATTTATTATTGGGTTCATCTCCCTCCCCTTGCATTCTATCATTATTAGAATTTTATGTATATCATTTATGTATCATTAAATTTTTATGGATTGGGGCGCGTTTTGGTAGGTTCCCTTGGAGTGGATGTGGTGGTTGGAGGATTGAACGATGATGGATGAGTTCTTGTGGTGAATGAGTAAATTGTAATGTATGAATGGGTCGTGAGTCAGATTAGCTAGGTATAAGATAGTTAGTGTTGACCAGCCTTTCCCCCCTCCCCTTTTTGGCCTTGTGCCACAATTGTAACCATTGTTGCAATAAATCATCAGGGTTTGTATTAAGTTACAACCTGCTTTATTTTTGTCTGCCAGCTGGACGCTAGCTGGGACTCTTACGCCGGTAAGTGCTGTTTATTATTGTTATTCTACAATATTGATGTGTCAACAACTTGTATCAGGGGAAGTTATCGGATAGAAGGACAGAAATGACAATATTTTCAAAATTTAATTGAACCAGCTTATTTAACTATACAGTAACTTTTAAAAATTAAATACTTTCAAATGTTTAATATTTTATTGATTATTTTTTTAAAGATACTTTAGCTTTATAGCCTTGCATTTGAAGAGGATCTGTGGAAAAATAAAATTAAATACTTTAAAAGATCTAATATTTTATTGATTTTCTTAGGTACTTTTTTTTAACAAAGTTATGTCCAAAGACTACACTGTTTCCATCCCTAAAATTGAAGCTAACAAAGAAAATAATTAATAACTGCAGTATGTCTCTCACTGAAAAATATAAATTAATATTTTAAAAAAATTAAATTTTGAACATGATGAAAGGATGAAAAAATTCAACAAATAATTAATACTTAGGTTTTAATAATAACAAACATTTTGACAATAGAACTTCATTTTTATTAAGTTTGAGGCCTTTAATCATCATGCTATGCTGTTTCTCAGTGAATAAGTGGAGATACCTAAGTTAGATTAAGGGCAAAAGTATGAGGTACAAAAATCTATCAAGCTTATCTAATGGGTGGATATTCCTGCTAGTAAAATTTTCCTTTTATTTTCTTGTTTTAATAACATTTATATATTTTTACACTTTCTCACCAAGTATTATAATGAAGCAAAAACAGAAATCTATACTGAAAATGGAAAATTCTATACTGAAAATAAGAAAAAAATGGAATTCCAAAAAAGCAATTCTTTTCTACAAAAGCAATGGCCAGCAATAATTATTTATTTTCCTCATTAAATATTAAAATAATCTTATGACAGTTTTAATTAAAGGAAACAAGAGTAAGCCAGTAAACAAAAAATCACCTTCCACTGTAACCTTTCTTTCTCTAGTATTCATGGTATTTGTACTAATTTTTGTAGTGTAAAATCTTTTCTCTTGAAACATTCTCCAGATACCTTAATTTTATTTTAAATAGTATGACAAGATTCAAGTGAAAAAACTGTAAAATACCTTGCATTCTTGGCATAAACCACCTTCAAATAAAGGATGTTGGGCAACAAGTTCTTTATGTAATGAATCACAGCATAGGCATATTTCTGTAAGAAAAAAAGGGAAAGAATGAAAACATGTAAAAAATAACTTACCAAGCTTTTTGTTATTGAAATAGGAATTTCTACTCAATTCAGTTGGCTTCTTCATACAGTTTTTAATTTTCATGAAGTTAATAATTAAAACATTTGGTAAATTTATTATGTCTCCCAAATATTTTTTATAGATATTATTTTTAATATTTTTCTTTTATCCAGAAGTATTCTTTAAATTTTGTGTTCTAATCACAAGATATCTACCTCCCCCCCCACCCGAAATTACAGCAACTGGTATTAACATACAAGTTGCTGGTTCTAAATTTCATGGTTATTATAGTTTTTAGCAACATTATGAGCGACTATAAGGGGGTATTCATTGTCCAAATTTAAAATCAAAATTTTTGTTAGGTAACTGTGCAGGTTCCATTAGTTCAGCACAAAGATATTGAAATTTTTATCACCAAATTTCACTAAAAAGTGAACATATCATTTAGGCTTGGAGTAAAATATTTTCAGGCAATATATTACATGGAAATTCTTGAATAAATCTTTTGTATTCATTTAGGTTTGTTTTAGAATAGTTCACAATTTTTTTTATTTGATATTTGGAAAATATATTTAGTCTGTATTACTATTTTTCAAACTTTGAACATTTCCACTGGTTTTGGGTTTTATACAAAAGTTAGGTAACTGTATGAAATTCATTTTTTTGTATTTTTTCCCCATTGATTTAACCAAGCCTTGTAAACTTTAATTTTATTTTAGAAAAGACAAAAATGATGAATGTACCTTGAATTTTTACATTCTTTAACTTCACTTTGTTTGAGGCTTCTGAAAAAAAAATTAAAAAAAATTCTAAATTGACACAAACAATATATTCACTACTAAATATACCATGAGAAGCACTAACAGGATATATTGCTTTCTTTTAAATATCATGTCCTTTCAAGATGTAAGAAAATCAAAGCTCTCCACAGATTCTTTTTCTTTATTATCTGTGAATTGCCATGACTTCTTAGCATAAAACCTAAAAACAGTTGTAGCGGATTGGTAAATAGGATTGTACCTATTTGCATACGTTAAATAGAAGAGATATAAAGTGTATAGTAAACTAAGAGACAGGCAAGAAGTTGACTAGAACAACGCAATACAACAATATGGTGTCATTGATAGGATGTTTAAGTTACTTGGATGAACCAGAATTTGTTGAGACTTGGATCCAGTGTTTTGCAGCCCAGGCTAGGAATAAAAAAAAAAATGAAAGATTACCAGGCAAGAGGGGGAGAAAATTAAATAACTGACCTCTTTCTAGAAATTTCAGAAATTATAAAAAGAAGTTTACAACCTCAAAAGAAACTTGTCATCATGGAAAGAACTAAATCTCTGTCCATCCAGGCTATGAAGTGGTTAATATGCAGTATAAGCTGAAAGATAGAGAGGGTGGAAGACATTTTCTTTGGTGACTGTTAACTTTGGATACAGACTGAAAATAATTTTTTTCTTTGGCAGTTATCACAAAGTTTTCCAAAACTGGAGAATTTTTTTTTCTGTCAATTTCATGCTCATAGTTACAGTATCTGCATTCTTCCTTTTTATACTGTACATTTCAATATTGTCCTCAAAATTATATTTTTTTTTATCAATTCCAGCTGTTGGATAACTTCCACACATGTAGTTAGAGACAAAATTATTCAGTTGTAATTGTTCCAATATCTTATATTTATGAAATGTATCAGCCATACCTTCAATCAACTGTAATTGAATCAATTCACCCTCAATAATCAAATTTTGAGTTCCAAGTTTCTCAAATTTGCAGAATCTGCTAGCTTCTCTTAATCTGAAGATTTTACATAATTAATTCATCTTGTTTCTGCTTAATACTAGTTAGCTTGGGCAGTTAAACAAATCCATATAGTTCTTTATTTTCCAAAGTAGAGGTCAAGCAATGAAAAATACATATATTTGGGGTGAATAGGCAAATATTCAGATAATTCTTGTTTACTCAATCATTTGAAGATTCTATCACATATACATCCTTTTAAATTAGGAATATTGTTTTTGATTCATCAATTCCAATCTCAAAACTTTAATCAAGTATTTCTTATATGTTCTAATTAACCATTTCATTTGAATTCTTTTTTCATTATAGTTTTCTCAACTTTCTATATCCCCATAATACCTTTCATTTATTTAGCATAGCTTCTTTGCTTCAGCCACAAAACATTATTCATACAGTACTAAAATCTTGGGTGAGGTTATCACACTGCCACATTGGAAAAGATAGTGGAGTAGTTTGCTGTTGCCGTCTCCAAAGTTTTGAATTTGAAATTGTCCTCTTTGAGACTGATTTATTCATACCATTTAAATTACTCTCATTTTTCAGACATAGAATGCTAAATATGAAAGTTAATTTTCAAAATAAAGTAATGTTGGCTCAACTCAATAGCTAAGAAAGAAAAAAGAATTTTTTAACTGATTTCAGTCTTTCTTATGAAATCTCAAAGTGGAAGATATTTTAAATGGTCACTATTCTAGATCTTTGTGCATAAATGCAGGTGTTCCCCAGGGCTCGATCTTTGGACATACATTGCTTCTAATTTTCATAAATGACCTTCCTGATGTCATCAGTTCTCAACTCGGTATCTATACTGATGACACAACTATTTACTCTTGTCTTAATAGTAAGTCTGATCAGTTTCATAAGGTCAAATTGGCAGCTGATCTCAAATGTCCTACAATCTGTAATTAAGTGGAGCAAGGAATGGTTTGTAAATTTTAATGCCTCAAAATCAAAACTGCTCTCCTTTAATCATCCGAGAGAACCCTTTTTACTTTATGGCTGTGGAAAGAGTATATTGAATCAATTGTTAAGTCCGCAGCTAAGAAAATTGGTTCACTATGTTGTGCTAGACAATTTTTCTCTCCTGAATCTATCTTATATATTTATAATTCTACCATTCATCCTTGCTTTGAATATTGCTACCATATCTGGTCTGGTGCTCCTGCTATATATTTAGAGATTCTTGATAAAATCCAAAGAAGAATGTGCAATATTATTGGCTCTAACTTGGCATCTCAGTTGTCTCTTTTTCACCTCTGTAACATAACTTCCCTGTGCCTTTTCTATAAATACTTTCATGGTAATTCTTCTGATGAACTTTTCGCTATATTACCTAGACTTTATGAATTTAACTACAGTACTAGATTGGTGGCAAGGTGTCATTTTTTTTACAGTTGAAATGGCTATGTTAACAGTTTCTTCTATCACACTTCTCACTTCTGGAAATCTCTTCCAACTTCTTGCTTCTCCATCAACTTTGATCTTCAAAAATTTAAATTCAATTTCAACCAATCATTATCTTCTGTTTTCTTAATTTTTGTTCTCTTATTGTCTCTATTAAATACTTAATAGTATTTTTTCTCATATTCTCTCATACTCAGTAATCCCTTGTGTACTAATGGCTTTATTGCCTTGCTTGGGGTGAAATGATTAAAAAGAATAAAAGATAGAAGTGCTGAAAAGAGAAAAGTAACAAAAAAAGGATAGGTGGGAAATAATAAAGTTGAAAAAGAAGAGAAACACAAGAGAATGAGATCAGTATGTTTGAAGCATAATAAAAGAAACCCTCTTACTATCAGCTGACATTCCTGACAAGCATGACATCTCATTTTGGGGATGCATTGTTTGCTCAGAGTCATTCAATTTTGGTAGTTGGAACTTTTTCAAGATTTGGAGAACAAATACAGGATACTCTTCATCTATTAAGAAAACAAGAAACAGAAATACCTTTACTATTTGTTTTCCATATGTACATGCTAATAATATATAAGCTAAGAAAATAATGTAACCAATAAAGAGATTGATATTGAAACAGAAATTTCATTAAACCAATCTATCAAATATACTTTTACAATTTTACTGACAACTTTATTACAAGGAGTGTTGAAAAATGAATGACTTGATCTACTTCCCAACTGAGCAAACATCAGAATTTATTTTTGAAAGGGCTTTTTGGTAGGGCTGAGAACTTTTCAGCAATACTATGTAATATCTAAACAATTTGAATGCACACACACACACACACAAAAAATCAATATATGCAAAATTCTAAGTAAATAAATCAATACTCATTCAAGTTGTCTTTGCTTTGGATTTAACTTTGTCCTCTACAGTATTCAAAAAATTTTAACGAAATATATTAAAAATTTTTTAAGTTATTATTCTTCATATCAACTTATAATTTGTATTTTACTTATTTCATAATAGCCTGTTTACTTATTTCTATAATTGCAATATTTGTAATATTTGGTAATTGTAAAAATAAAATTCAGCAAATTCAAATATAAAAATTTTTATGTTTTAGTAGTGTAAAATAAGTAAGATTAATAATTGATTAAAATGGTGTAAATAAACAAATATTATAATTGTCTATGCTTGTCTATTACATGTAACTTGGAAGAGAAGTCGATCTTAAAGAAAGCCAGATGCATTGTAAAAAATTGTTACATATGTTTGTGAAAATTTTTATCTTTAGAATTAGCAGTTAAAAAACTGCAAAAATTATTTCTACTATGTGGATTGTTGCTGATTCATTTTTTTGAATTTGAAAAAAAATATGTATTATTTTATTTACTAACCAATCAGAGACATGGGCTCATACTCTTGTAAATTTTGAAATTAAGGTTTGTCTCTGGAGAATCCTGTTTTTCTATATAAAGAGTTGGGTCAACTGATAAGATTAGAATGTAATCAGATTCCAAAGCAGAAAATTTTTGAAATATTGTATTGTAATCTTTCTTTAGGTCATGTATATTGCTTGAAATGTTATCCAGCCTTACTTTTGAATAAGGCACACAAAATGTTTTTTTGTGCAAGCTCTTGTTTGTAAAATACTGTATGTTTTTTTAAATATGTATTGTAGT